GTGAAAAGAGGTGCTGCAGCACAGGCAGTTTTGGAAAGAGAAAGATGCACAAAATACAAATATGAAACCTGAAAATGAGCAGAATAGGGCCCCTTTAATATCCTGTGAGAAACATTGATTGGGTAAACACCCCATGTTCACTTAGGCTTTTTATCTGTTCTTCATTATCCCTCTTTTTTGCTCTTAGTCTTTTCCTTACTGTCCGACTGTTGTTTATAACCTTCTCATGTAATTTTTTTAAAGTGTCTGGTTGCTTTGGAAGTCCATAAATTGGTTAGATTGTGTAACTCCCGGCCAATTTAGAAGTTGCTCATTTTTATCTGAAGGCTCTCTCTGTATCTACTGTGCTTTTATCATGATTGTCCTTTTTAGCAACTTTCTGCTGCCCCATTCTTCACATGGCCAACACACTTTAAAAAGCGTCTGCTCTCGCCCCCGTGTCCAGCTTCCTCTCCTTTCCAGACGGTATTCTTTGCAGATTTAATGGGAACGGCAGAGACAGTCCACTTTACCCGATCTAGACATAATGTGGACTCTTTCACAAAGGAACGTTTCTTTTGAAATGCAAATCGAGCAGACTCTTTCCGTCTTTTTGTGTGTAGTTGTTCAGGTTTGAACACAGCCAGGTAGTCTAATTGAGGTTCTTTAAGCTTGAAAGCTCTCTCAGGACCAGGGGGCTTTCTTTAGGCATTAAAGGCCTTTAAAACTGGGGGGGTGACAAAGAAGCATCGCAAACATTTGAAAAACTTGTCTGCAGGAAATGATGGACTCAACATCATTCCCTATCTTTTCAGTTTCCTTTTCGTGAAACTTAATTTTGTCAAACAGTGACGTGATGTGTATGTCGAGGGTGATTTTCTTGGTGGACGGAATGAACTGATAGAGTGGAGCTGGTATGCGATGACTTGTTAAAAGAAGTATATTGGTTGGCCGTCTTGGATCAGACTACAGAGCCACCATGTTGTCAGACTTTTAAAAATATATTGGCGTGTGAAATAAGATAAAACTCCCTATTGTCTAAAGACCACACTACTGCTACATTTTCCCTGATGAATTCCAGTTATTCATTTAGAACACTAGAAAATAAAGGGAAACAGTAAATTGCCTTACTTTAGAATATTTTTATATGTTCTATCCTTTGACTGTCAATGATTACTATATGATCCCTATTGTATTCTGCCTGTCTTTTTAATAATTATTTTATTAGAGAATTGACAGTAGAGAGATGACAGGAAATATGGTGTGTGTGAGAGACAGCCTAAAATACTTGTGGCCTAGGTTTAACTATCTACTAGATAGATAGATAGATAGATTTCAGTGTTGAGACAGAAATCTAGTAATATGCCAGTCAATCCTCCTCCTACACGATTTAACCTTTCCTTGACCCTAAATTCTCTTTCTTCTCCTTATCTAAAGTGACGGCACTGCTCAGGCACAGGGATGGATTTCTTACTGAATGAATGTTGCTGCTTTTTTCCTCACTCGATACATAGTCAAAGAACATATTCTAATCTGGAAACGGCTAAAATGTCTTGGATGACATTAGAAAATATTCCATCATGTAGGTGTTAAAGTATAGGGGAAAAGATGTTTGAGATGTGAGGTGTTGAAAACCTCGTTAAAAGCAGATTTACTGGGACCCTAATAGTTTTGTGTTATATTGCAAGGTCAGCACCTCATCCAGTGTTCAGAGCTCCTTCGTTTATGCTAATGCTTGGATGCGATGTGGCCTATGAAGCACCCCCTGCTAACTATTGGCTGTACTGTTCTAGGTAGTAAGCCGGCTGTTAAAGTACATTCTGGTAGTGGCCAAATGGCATTACTACAAGACCATGTCACCATTGGGCCCAAAACCTTTTTCCATTAATTAAAGGGGACCTATCATGCAAAATGCACTTTTGTACATCTTTTATACATGAATATGTGTCCCCGGTGTTCCAGGAACTCACCAAGTGTCAGAAAATACATTATTACGAAGTTATTACGATAAATCTCTAAAACGGGGCTGCAACGGATTTGATACATGTGGATTCTGATTTGCACCTCTATGATGTCACAGAGGTGCACTCCGCCTGTATGGTCAACTCTCCACCTATCAGGGGAATGAGAGGTTGCCGTTGCATGGCAACAGCATAGCAACAGCATGGCAACAGCATAGTAACATGACGCTTGTGCCTCGCCCCCTCCTTTGCAGCGGTGGGGGGGTCAGCTCCAGCTCATGCAAAGACAGAGCTGGAGTGAGGCAAAATGAGGCATGGCTAAAATGCATGATCTGTTTGGTATTTTGAAAAATAAAACTTATAAATATACCTTATATAGGTATGGCCCTACAATATATTATTCAAATATAGCATGATAGGTCCCCTTTAACATTGGGAAGAAAGCTCTGTAAATCAGCAGATTTTCCCCTTTTTGAACGAAATCAAATACCCAGTGATAACACAAATCGCTTATTTAAATCCTAAAAGTCCTAAAAGTTGTCAATCCATTACTTTGACTGGCCAAATGACAGTACTAACAAACGAAAGAAAACTAAAGATTAAAGAAAACTCTATTTTCGATATTCTTCTTTTTGAGCGAAATCAAATGCCCAGGGCTAACATTGGAAAATTGCTTATATAATAATTTATTCCTAAAAGTGTCAAATCAAGTTTCAAATTTAATAAAAGATGAATCTATAATTATTTTCCTGCTCTATTAACTTGAGTGAGCAGAGATCGGCGGTGACGCTGCGGTGGGGCAGCAAATTTGAGGCGTGGCTTAAGGAAACGCAAAAGTGCATGCTCCATGGTCCTAATTGCTGGAAGACCCCTAAAAGGTAGTGGCAGGTCATTTTGACTTCATGCGCCACTGAGCGACTTTCAAAGGAATGAACGTCCCTGCCTCCAACACTATCTATCCAATTCTCCTTACACATCCTGAGGTCTGTGTCTTCTCACTCGACACATTGTATCAGGGGCCCCGAAGGAGCAGCTGGACAAAGATTTTGCATTTAAAGGAGCAAGGCGATAGCAACTGCTTTAAAGTGCAGCGTGGGAGTTGCTCACTGATACACCTCCTGGCCCTCAGCATTTGACACACTCTCTATCTTCAGAGGTGATTTTCTCTGCTGTGTTTAAGAGGCCAGTGGTGGTGATAACAAAGACTTGTGTTCACTGTCTGAGGATTATATTCAGGTCTGCACAAAAATCGCAGCGGCTGTAGGAAATTCCTATTATTAAAAAAGGGTGAGAGGGAAGTACACGTGTTTTTTTGATTGACCAATGGAAATATTGCATTTAAGTTTTAGGTGCTTTGTTGATTTCTCATCACTTCAATGTTGCAGCACAGAGCCAAGAGACCAAATAAAGGAATTGCTCGTAGTGAGGAGCCTACAGAGAATTATCACCTGAATCTGCAGCGTCTCTTGGCTTTACAGAGCTTTATCGTTTGAGCTCATTGTTTAGCTGTCTGGCTGTAATTGTATTGCTTTGGTTTACTCACCCCACAGCAGGCAGCTGTTTTCAGAATCTCTATTACTATGCATTACCTGCCAAACGCCAACCTGCAGACAGACTAAGTTAGAGACCATCGGGGGAACATAGTCGATTATAGAGAGCTGCAGGAATCGGTCCTAAAACCTGATGTGAGTTAACACTAATGGTTTCCGCTTCTCACAGACAATTGGTTTTTAATGGGTTTTTGGTTTAATGCCCGAATGAATCTGCACTATAGCTCTAGTCTTTGTTTAAGCAGGTCCACTTTTTGTTCTACATCATAAATACCCCACTTGTGACATTTGTTGGGAAAATACTGAATGTACTCTTCTAGTATCAGAGTAGCACATGATAACAAAGGCCCCACTGTAGCTGTGTACGTAACCGGATGTATGATTACCTAGAAGAGCATCAGGACTGTTTTAGGCATATGATAGCTATGTGATTAACATGATGATTCAGCCTCTATGGAGATAGACATATGACTGTCATGTTTATTGATTACGCAGGCCTTAGCTAATCTGAACCAAACATTGAATACTGCTTTGAACCGGTATTCTGCATCTTGTGACTCTGTAACTCCCTCTCTTGTATTTAAGGCATGTCAAGGACAATGTTCTGGGAACTAGTTGTACCACGCAGCCCTGTATTTGATGACTACTTCCATTCTTGCAAGGATAATAAATACATGTATCCTGATATTGGTGGTGACGTTAAAGTCATGCGACCTTGGTGTAGTTTGTTTACAAATGACAATAGCTATTTACTTCTGGTAAATGCACTTAAGCTTCAAAAATCATAAAAGTGGTGTCAGTTTGTAAAGATGATCCTGCTGAACGAAACATAGTTATCACAAACTTTTGTTTGCCATAGATCTTATTTCCTGCAAAAATCCAGGCGCAATGGTTATTACTGGATTATGCCTGCTAGGTACTTTATTGATATAGAACTCTTTTTAGCAGCTTAAAAGATGAATACATCTCTCAGTAGTTGGTGGAGACCAGAAACGGAGCTAAAAGAGAGACAATATTTGACTTGCATTAATCTGGTGGACATAAAGAACTCCAAATAAGTCATAGTGTTTTTCAGAACACTCAAATCTACAGTGAGGTTTCTTCTTTGACCCAGTGTCTTGCATGGAGTTGGACACAGTACTGTTGCAAGTCTCAACATGAAATAAAAGTGAATTCCTGCAGCCTCTTCCACTACAAGGTCAGCAGCAGTCGACTAAAGTTCAGCCGCCATGTAATTAAGAGTGATTTCGTGTCAAGCTCAAGGGCATTTCAGCCGGATGGAAGGTGTCACAGGAATCTGAACTTAGTTTCGTTATACTCTTTGAAATCAACCATGCACAGCCCTCATGTCATGATGAACATCAGTCTTTACAGAGGATATGAGATATTTACAGGGAAGAATCAATCAGGTCTCTAATGGTTACACTTTTAGATTTTCTTGAGAGGGATAGGCTGCCTTAATTTGATTTGATATCTCCGGTCTCTCTTGCTCTTATATTGTTGTACAGTAATTAGGTCATGAAGTATGTTGTTTTTCATTTTCCTCGCAGGATTGTTGGTGGATTTGAGGCGCTTACAGCCATGGAGAATGTGGAGAGTGATCCCAAATCAGACAAACCAAAGGTAGGAATCGTTGACCTTTAAGGTCCAGATTGGCTTAGAAAATTAAAATCAAGAATGCAATTAAAATGATAGTATATTCAAATGTAAACCGGAATCTCCAAATGTTTTTCAACACAGTACCATGACAGTATTTTGACCCTTATATGGATTGTTTCAAAAACAAGGTGCTAGTTAGAGATGAGTTAGAAATGCCAATGAGGATTTATTATACTATTCTATTGTTAATTTAAAAATATGCTTTAAAAACAAATACAGTTACAAATGTATAATATCATGTTTTTCTGCTGTTATCAAGGGACTTTATGTCTTCATCATTTAGATATTGGTATTATTAGGTAATATTGACTAACATTTGAGATATTTTAATAATAGAATGATGCCCAGCATAAGTCCGGATTTCACGTAGAGCCGTGTCCTTTTAGGTTACACATTTTTGTTTGTTTTACAGTCGGAGATCAAGATCATAACTGCCACTGTGTTTGTGGATCCGTACGAAGAGGCTGACGCTCAGGTGATTGTCTCTCTGTTTGCATATATAAACAATGCTGACTTTCCTGAATGCTTGACATCCGTTGTGAGTACTTGCAGTGCAGAGCGTTAAGGATTTGGATAGTGAAACATTTTGATGGTAGCAGATTTGAATTTAAATGGTGTGCAATCGAGTCGAACTCTGAAAGTACTTCTATCTGCACAGAGAAGGTCCAACAACCAATAGAAACACATTTTGCCGTATATAAAAGGAAATAAAGCAACTCCCTCAATTTACACATAAATCCTCTAATAATAGTTGGAGCTGAAAAGATGATTTGACTCATCCATAAGCCTTAAAGTCAAGTGCCAAAGTGGAAGTAACCGTTGATGAGCACAAAGTCCCGTGAGCAGATTTATTTGATTTAAAATATGATTTCAGATCGCAGCAGAGCGAGCGCAGGAGCTGCAGAAGCAGGAGGACGAGATGGAGCAGACCAGCATCGCCCGGAAGAAAGCCAAGGGGGAAGAGGCACCGAAGACCTTCAAAGCGGGTGTGGGGAAATACATCAACCCTGCCACAACGTAAGGACACACATGCATACTGACTTACTATTCACCAAACTGCTCTGCTCCTGCTTTAGTAAGCATCGCCGCGATGTGTGGAAAATATAAGCAAAAAACAGAAGAATATTTGGATGATAAAACTTTGATTACATAGTGACACAGAGCCATTAGAAACAGAATGTGAACAATTTACAATTAAGTAGAATACTGTTACATACAATACATGTTTAAGGTTTATTGTCTGTGTTTTTGTGATTTAACAACATTAGCATCATACTTCAGTAACATAGTGGCATTACTGTAACGCTTCTTCTTTTAGCTAGGGCTCCAACACATTGTAGGTTAGACTAAGGAGCGGGACAAATCTAAGCGGTTGACCAATCACAACAGAACCGGCCAGCTAACCAATCAGAGCAGACTGGGCTCTGGTTTCAGACAGAGGGTGAAAAGAGGTGCTGCAGCACAGGCAGTATGAGACAAATAAAGAGCTTTTTGAACATTAAAGCATGGAGACATGTAACCGTAGAGGCACTACATACAAATATGAACCTGAAAAAGTAATAATAGGGCCGCTTTAAAAATATAAGTCTGTAACAGCTGTTTTGGGCAGTGCACTTGTCATTTCTTTGTTCAAAATCATCTTGATCAAATATGATGAAGAGATAGAATCATTATGTTCTCACTTTTAAATCCCTATAGCTGCATTTCAAGGAAGGAAGAGTATTTTTTCAATAATATATGCACATGTTTCATATAAGTATCTTTATACAATGTCTAACCGTGTAGCGTGAGTGGTAATATTGAAATGACTGTCGTTATGCAGAGCGAGGGTACATTAACTGAACCTGAAATGCCGAAGAAGGCATTAGAGATAATTATGCTCATATCTTTCACTCTTTTATGGTGTTTTATCTTCAGATCTTCTTCTTATCCTTCTCCTGTCATCACATCGTATTCACATATTCACATTAACACAGAGTATGTCAGTATAATGCTCCCAAATGACAGCCTGTCTATTCTCCCCAGACAGTTAAACATGGCATATGGGGTGTTTCAGCACTCATTATGGGGCTTTTCAGGGCTTTGTCAGCAGTGAGATGTTTTTCATTTATTCATTTAAGATAATGGAAGGAAAATGCAAATGTAAAAGATATGTATGTATGTACAGAGTTATGCTTTGTATGGAGTTGTATATAATGTATATAATGTATGTATGTATGTATGTATGTATGTATGTATGTATGTATGTATGTATGTATGTATGTATGTATGTATGTATGTATGTATGTATGTATGTATGTATGTATGTATGTATGTATGTATGTATGTATGTATGTAAGTAAGGGCATATGTATGAATGTATTTCCAGAATAATTCTGAAAGGTAAGAAAGAAAAGTGAAAAGGAAAAGCACGGTGGCCGACAGGGGCAAACGCGCTCTAATGGCCCAAAATAATTATATCAGGAGAAATGCATTGCACTTTCAAAAACGATGCAAATATAGAAAACACAAATGTGCCAAATTGCACGCATGTGAAGGAACATCTTCACCAACTTGACACCACATGTGCAGCGTTTACTAAAAGCGCAGCATAAAAAAAAAGTTGCAAATATACAAACGCTGTAAGAAACTATAAACACAACAGAACTGGGGACACTAAAAAGTGACGCACACAGCTGGACCGGAGCGCTTGTTGACGTTCGGGGATTAGAAAGTTGGCAAACAATCCCTGTCCCTGGTAAATGAACTAATATGTGCATTTAATTGGCTTATTTTAACAATGTGATCGCATGATACCTTCTGATATTTTTGCAGTAATTATTATTAATAATTAAAGTATTAATATAAGCTAGCTAGCTAACGCAGCTAATCTAGTCATTTCAAAACTACAGAAAAAACCCTAACAATTATTAAACAGACTAACTCTGCCAACAGTCGCAGTTGGCCAACTTCATAATCCCCAAATGTCAACTAATGCTCTGATCTGCGCTTGTTCCAGCTGTGTGAAGTTTCTTCATTTGCATGTTTTTGAAATAGAAATGTTGACTTTTTTTCGAATGTAAGTTTTTTAGGTTGTCGTAGTGTGTTTGCCCGTTGGCCAACGTAAACAAGAGACACGCAAATGCTAGATACAAACAGCTGATTGTGATATTCTTCTCCCTCAGAAAACGACCGGCTGCTGTAGATGAAAGCGGGCCGTCCACCAGCGGAGCGGAGCCTAAAAAGTGCAAGGGCAAGACCAACCTCGGAGACTTTAGCTCCTGGTAGCACCGAAACATTTAGCTTTCACCAGTCTGGATTCTGACCGGTCGTGTTGAGCGCAACACAATTATTGTCATTTATACATTTGTCTCTCTAAATTTGTCATGTGAAACCATTAAAGTTACTTTTTACAAAGATGGTGACGTTATCTAATTGTTCACCTCTCCCTTTGAAGACACTGTATGGCTGTTGTTTTAAAGACAATGTATTGACATCTGCGATAAAAAAAGAGCCGTATAAAGATTTATCTGCACTTATCAAAAGGAAAATCTATATCGTAAGCAACAAATCTCATCTTTGACATTCATGATAGTCTAATCAATAATTGGGCTAAAACCTGACCGATATCATCTGTCCTGCACAGTTTAATCACTGCAAAGAGAACTTGTGAACATGATTAACTCCTGACACCTCAGTTTGTTTTCTGGTGACGAATGACGACATGCAGGCGATTTCAGAGACGTTTTGTTACTTTGGCTCAACGCCCATGTGTTTTAGTGGATTTGCTCCGTCACATTTCTATAATCCTTTAGCACAGTGCTCCAAAGAAAGATTTGTACTTCTTGAATCAAAGCCAAGGTGGCCCACTCATAAAACAGTTAAAATAACGAGCCTGGTCCCTTTGTTATATCCACACTTTTGGTTTGGTTATTTAGGACACACACAACATCGCTTAGTTTAAGTGTGACCTGAGAATGCTATTAATTAATGCAATGAAAATGGTAACACTTTATGGTAAGGGTACATGAATCATCATGAATTCATCTTTATGATCCCTCAAATAAAGTCAGCCCTTATGTCTATTTAGGCATCATGTATTTGGCAATATTACAAATGCAAATTAGATCATCATTTTGGACTTAATTTCAATGATCAATTATTTAGTTAGAACTTAGTTAGTTCGTTTTTATGTATCATACAGTATTATCTTAAAGCCCATTTAAGATAACTCATTCATCATTTAAGATAACTCATTCATAATATTAACAAACTTTAATTTATAATCCAAAGCCAACAAGATCACATTTTCACATATGTCACATAAGAAAGCAATAACATTTTTCAGCAAAGACACAAGATACATGTGAAGTTAATGGTAAATCATACCATGTTTATATTGTTGAATTATTTGTGATGTTAACTTGACCACAACAGATAAAATGCACTGAAATGACTTGCGTATAGATCATCAGAGATTTATCTTTCAGAAAAAAACACCTGACTCATATGTAATAGTAATAGATGTGAGGCACGAACAGGGGCTATCTTGAAACGTCAGTGAGCTCTTGGTGGTTCAATAAGGGAAACATGACCCGAATGTCCTTCAGTCAACGACTGAGAGGTCCTTTCTTACGCCTGTTTCCAAGCCAGCAAGTCCATTCTATAACTGCAAGATGTTCTTTCAAACGCTTCTCAGTTCGGTTTCCCCTAAGCCGCCAAATTATTGATAGTTAATCATGATTACAACACTTTGAATTCAACAGAATACATGCACTGCTGTGACCGACAGACCGGGTCACCACATTATTTGAAGGGGCACAAACATGATGAAGTAATGACAAAGTCATGCTGAGTTAATCATGATTACAACACTTGGAATTGATGTGACTGGTCAGCTTTTTGGCCTGTATCTAACTGCAGATCTATATGAAGAAGACATGAACATCATTATTAACTCAGAATTCATGATGATTGAGATACCTTAGTTGATGCATTAATTAAGGTATTGTTCCTGCATTGAGTCATGCATGATATACCATTACCTGTACATTACTGATAGTTCATGAAGTACTACATGAATGAATTCATGCTTTTTCATGCATTAAGTCATGCATCAATTCATGATGATTAATGTACCCTTACCATAAAGTGTTACCCAAATGTCTACTGACATGACTATACATCTAACAATGAAAACAGGAGCCTTGACTTCATGCCACCGTACAAAAATAATAGCATCACATTATCATGGGATTTGAAAGAAGGTCATTTCACAATGTTACACAGCAATTGTTTTTTGCATCATATGCAAGAATCGTTTTTGATCTGTAAAATGTGCAGGCATATACAATTCACTCGGTAAACCAGAGACATTTTCTGACTGATTGTTTTCAGGTTTCTAATAATGTGTATATATAGACTTAAATGCCTAAACAACTATAAAATGGCTAAATCATTTTTGTTATCTGCTTATTCAATCTCTCTTTATTCCCCTCTTGCTCTTTGTGATCACCTTCACTGTTGTCAAACAGTCAAACACGATAATTGTGTCACCTACATACATTTCGTTTCTGATGATATAGACACTGAATGAAGGTAAACACCTATTTTTCCCTAATTGCTACATGGAACAGAAGTTCCCCTTCACTATTGGTCTCTGTTGTCAATGGACAGCAGAGTGGAGAGCTTCCAAATGTTTGCTTGAATTGAGGTGTTTATGTTTTACCAGCAGCTACATCAGTAGATATATCTATTTCATTGGGTCTATTTATGTACGGTTTGTCTCTTGGAAGAGCAAACTGTGGTCCCATGGGAAGTCTTACAAGCCCTCAGTATCATACACTTCTAAAACTGCCACAATGGACATGAGGTACCTTCTCAAACATCCCCTTGTTGCTTTCTATTCCCTATAAATGTTTCCCAGCAACACCTTGAATTGCAAGTGTTTTGAGAAGCAAATATAAAAGCCTTCATGCTCTGAGACGGGTAATTGCATGAATCTGTGGGATCATTACTTTTAGGATCACTGTGACACGGTGATAGCACCCTTGTCTCACGTCATTTATTGGATGCATGGTTATTGCCTTAATGCTGCTCCACTCGAGCCTCATTATTTAGCTGTGCTCTTGGCAGCAGTTGCCAAGCTGTGGGCTTCTACCTGAATGAAGACACCCTCGAGGGTCCTCTGTGTCTCTCCCCTGCCTGAGCGAGGGAAAGCTTTGTGAGAACAGGCGATGGAAAAATGAAGTTGTGCCCTCCAAAGCTAAGGTTCCAGACCTACATCATTATCCTTTTCACACATGGAGGGCTAAAAGTGATTTGTGGTGTGATGATAATGTTGAGTTTCACATCTGCCAAGTCAGCACAGAGGCATAACATCATATCCAGCAGGGTAGTCCCAAAAATATTAAATAATTGAGCTCTGGAGATCCGTCTTCATTTGTCCTTCCTCTATTATGGCCCTGGGTCAACAACTCAGAACATGTTTTAAATGAATTTGAAACATTTGTTTGTTTTCCTCCAATCAGAGATGAGTTTATAACATATGCCCTGTTGTACACCAAGAAGAAGCTACACTACACTTTTTTTGTTCTGTTTTTTAAAGTGTGATTGTATGAGACGTTTATCCATAGTCAGTTTGTAAAGTAGATAATGGTTGCCACATCGCAGAAGCAGGCAGGAAAGCCAACTCTAAAGCTATTATAAGACATGTTATCTGTGGACGGGGGCAGTAGCGGAACTTATTTTAGGCACCTAAAAGAAAGCCCATCCTTAAAAAATACATGTCAGTTTGATGTACACCATAATTAGAATATTGTCCCCGCTCTACATTGCTGTGAGACAGCTCTCTTTGAAAGGGAACTCAAGCAGCCTCTTGCAAAAGCCACCAGAATCGACGACTTCCTCTCAGAGTTGCTGCCCGACAGTAGTTTGGATCAATTTGTTTGTTTCTGTTTTTGTGTAACTTTGAAACACCACATTCACACAATATCTCATAAACTAACTTTTTGAGGTAGTTATAGCAGGACTCAGTAAATTAATGTTGTTTCAAAGGAATCTGAAGCATTAACATCACTTTGTTGGCGTCTAGAAGCCAGCGATGCTAATATATTAGTAAGCTAGCGAGTGGGTGAAGTAATGAAAAAATACATAATGATAGAGGTGATAAAAGTCTTAATATCAACATTTTGCTCAGATATATTATACAATTGCATTAGAAAAACGATGTGACAGAAAATAACATGAAATTAATTGTAAAAATCTGCCATTGAATGTTCCATCTAACAACTACACACCAGGTTGGTGTAAATGACCAGTGGTTCCAATGTACCATTTTTGTAAAAGAAAGGTGCTGTGTCAACATTAACAACACGATCCATTAACAAATGTAAGACTAACGCCCTCATTGTAAGGCTAATGCAAGCTGTTGAGTCTTCTGTGACAAATAACAAGTATCAGCTACATCACTCTTCATGGTAAGTGTTATCTATGGTAGCTTCTGGGGCTACATATACTGTCCTTTATTTATCCTTTACAAATGAATAAGACTATTGAACATTTTGGCAACAAGGTGGCTATAATCTGAACTTTTAATAAAATATTAAATTGGTATCATTCCATTGTTTCATTGGTCCACAGAAAGAAATCTGCTAAATCAAGGTCTGTAAGAATAGATTTCCCCTCCATAAAATGTGTTCTGCATAAAATCAATTTCAATACATTTGCCAGCAACTTTTCTCCACAAAATCAGTGCTCTGGGTGAGACAGTCTTAAGTTTGGTTTTATTCCTTGTTGAAATATAAATGTGCTTTTCAACAAAGCCTTCTTTTCATCTAACAAAAGTTGTCAAATATTTGAATAAATAGATCCTTGTCTAAAACAAAAAAAGTTTGATTAACAAAGTCCCAGTTTACATTCGAAAATATCTGATTGAATAATAAAAGTAAAAAAGCCTCTGATCAGGAAGTCATTAATGACATTTTCTTTAGCAGTAAACACTACATTTGTCACCATTTTCATTTAGCTTTTACTGCCAGCTTTAAACAGTGATTTTTCACAATGAAAAACATAACTCCACTTGTTTGTTTGGTCCAAAGCACCACCTGGCTTTTATAGATATGTTCCCTTCAGCTCCCAAATAAACATCCAACCTTTAGCAGCACCTGAGGAACCGTCTGTCAACACCAGTGTTCGGGTCTTTTTATACCTCTCCTTTTTATAAACAATTATAACCTTTGAGCTGTCCCTCTGTTTTGATTTCCAAAAAATTGAATTCTCCATTTTACATGCAACACCATTTCATTTAAAGAGTTCTCAGAGCAAAATAAATCACTTGGTACTTTTTAAGACAAGGATATGAATCACCCATCCTGGAAAAAGAGCTAAAGCGTGAGTGTAATACTCCCTTCCTCCCTGCA